ATGGTGTCATAGCTCAGCCTACAGCCCATCATGGTATGGTGTCATAGCTCAGCCTACAGCAGCAGCAGATCGCAGCTTGTTCAATGTAACCAACCAGGTATAGAGACCCACCCCAACAACCTTTTCCGTCAGCTATCCCACAGAGTCGTAAAGATTCCACAACCTTCCAAAACAGTGTTCTTGGGTGGACACCAACTGTTCAAGCATGTGCCTCTGTGGAGGACACTTCATATTCAAACCAGAACAGAAATACATGCATATACTCCCATTTGTATTTATATATAACCATCTATATCTATATTAAGCTAAGCATAGCTGGACATGCTAGTACAACACTATAATCCCACCACTTGAGAGGTTGAGGCAGGAGTTTGAGGTCAGCCTGGGGTATATGAATTAATATCTATAAACTAACAAAGGGCATACTAATTTCTCCAATTCTAATTTATACCAGAAGGACCATTCTAGCTTCCTCTCCTTAATTATGTGCAATTCCTACTTCAGTAGTGAGAGACCGGCTTCCTATCATCTGTACTTATTTACTTAATTGTTCAGTTTCAGTATGTGTATAGAGGCGGAAGAGATAGTTCACTCAGTAAAGTGGTAATTTTGAAAGCATGAGGACCTAAGTGGGATCATCAGAACCCATGTACAAATGCTGAGCATGATGGCATGCATGTGTAACCCTGGCACTTCAGAGGCTGGCACAGCCCACTGGCCAGTCACCCCAGGCAATGGTGGACTTCAGGGCAAACAAGATCCTGAAAGGAGGACAGCACTCCTGAGGGATGACACCAGATGTTGTCTCCTAGTGCACACATGCACGTGTGCATGCGCATGCGCGCACATGCACACACTCTCACTCACACACACACACTCACACATACACACAAAAGCACATGCAAATAGTCACACACATGCATTTATAAATGTGTGTATAGCAATATCAGAATTATTGGCATGTACTCTCATGGAAAGCGTTTATCACCCAGAGTACAGAACTGACACCTGAAAAAGCTCTTTTACCAGTCTTAAACATTTCCAGAGTTACTTAGTTCAGCACCCCTTGTCCCATAACCTTCAGTGAGATCGTTTCATGTGTTTATAATACAGTTAGATTCCTGGTGGAGGTTTGCTTTTGCTCTTGAGATCCGTGTGATCTAAATGGTTTACTTTAGGCTTTTGTTTTGATTTGTTTTTAATTTGTGAATGTTGCCTTTCTTCCTGTGCTGTTCCATGAGTCTTCACAAATGCTTAATGTCATGTACTCGGCTTTACAATAGCATACAGAAAGCTCTAGTGACCCTAAAACATAAGAGGAAGTACATGACAAAGTTGCTTTTATGTGATTGTCTGTAGATCTGAGCAGCCAGTGATTTTATTGAATCAACTTATTCTCTATAATACCTAACCACCTAATGCTTACTAAGTTTTTACTGTGTGCCAGATTCTAAGTGCTTCACAACAACCCTTCAAGATAATACCAATTATTATTCCCATCTTACAAAGAAGAAAAGTAAAGCCAGAGAGTTAAAATATTTTGCTCAACTTTATACAATAAATACAATAGTACAGTCAATAGTTAAAGAAATGTGTATGCACGTATGTGCATATATCTTTGATATATACATATCATTTTATATAGACACATATGTAAATCATATAGAAGTAGATGATTAATGATTGTTATGTCTGTATTTATATTCAGATGCATTAAGGTGATACTTAAAATTGAAATATTTCAAACATCTTTGTCTTCAACTTGACATGAATCACAAGTGTGAAGACTTTGACCTCCTGTTTTTGTCTTCAAAGGAGGAAATGAGAAAAGGAATCAGTTCAGGACGAACTCTATTAGTCTCCTTATATAAGGCTTACCTCAGCTGGTTCCATGTTTACAGAGGAAGGGCGAAATCAAAGACTGCCATTATATTGCTTCCTGTCTTGGTGGCCGAACAGCTAGGGTTGCTGGCTCTTTTAACTGTTTGTTCTAAGAATTCTACTGCTTCCCATAGCAATGTGTCAGGCAGCACAAAGTTAGTCTGCCATGCCTGCACCTCTTCATCAAAGATATTTTTGTTTTCAGTGAAATTTTTAAACTGAAAACTACTTGTAGTAAATAGACAAACAACTAAATGGAGGAGAAATCACACATGTGCCCCGAGTAATTATTGCCTATGGAATAAAAATAAAGCGAGAACAGAATGTTTGCAGTGTGGCCCTGCCTCTTGGTATTAATAGAACAAAATTCTTGAAGTGAGAAATCACCAGTTAAGTTTTAGTTTCTTTTTCTGTAAAGGTAGATTGAAGCATAGAGTTAGAATTAGCCCTGCTCTACAGCCCATAATACAACTTGTTGTCATAATCACTGGACAAAGCCTAGGCCACAAATCAAAAGCTTCTTAAGGCTCCTTTCTGCTTTAAAACTGTGATACTCGCTGACAAGAAGCAAGCTGCAGTTTCTTTCCTATCACTTTCTTCAACAAGCACATTCATCACCACCTCTTACAAGCCACGAAGCTGCACAGTGCACAGGCTGCTGTGAACCGTTCTGTGTATGGTAATGAACCTGCATTACCACCTTCTCTTCAGATGAGACACCTCCTGCTTCAGGAAGCCATATGTGCAAATAGCCTGAACAGAACTCAGAAGAAATGGGGGAAACAAAAAAACAAAAACAAAGAACACACACACACACACACACACACACACACACACACACAAAAAAAAAAAAAAAAAAATGACTTAAAAAAAAAAAAAAAAAAAAAAAACCCTGTTGACATATAAGAGCAAAGTAAATAATTAAATAAGGGTGTGTGGAATCAGTCTATTGAATCTCTAAGGTCATTCACCTCTTTTGGATGGGTAAGATTTGTAATTTGTCTTGTTCATTAAATCAGCAAAATGCTGAGGGTTTCACATTTTATTTTTAAAAATAGATGTCCTTTTCGGGTTTTCCTGTTGCTGGGGAAGCGTTCTTTCCGTTGCTAACAGAAAGCTAAATGTTCTGCCTTGAATCCTGTTTGCTTTTATTGGTAGGAATGCTAGACGGATGGATGAATGAAGGAATATATACTTTTTTCTGTTTCTATAATAAAACAAAACCCACCTGCTTTGAAATACATGATAGTCTAGTTACCAGGTAGTTCTTTAATAGAAGCATGGAATTTTCTCATTTGTTTGTGCATTGTTTCTGATTAACCTGAAAGTGGGTTGACTATTCAAATGTAAAGATTGCAGATGGCTGCTGAATTCATACTGGGAACACTTACTATCACTCACCGTCTGGTGATTAGGGCTGTTAAAGAAGGCATTTCTGCTCTTCACATTTTTGCCTGACAAAATTTAGCCTCTAATAAGGAAATAGGAATAGCTGGTCTCTGGCTCTTATTTCCAATCCTGCAGTCATAGGATTAAAACACAAGCCATCTTGTTCACCTTTCTGTAATTACAGTGTGATTTCTCTCTGTGTCTTAGTTTCTTTTCATGTTGCTGTCATGAAATATCCTGACAAAAGCAACTAAAGGAGAAAGGATTTGGTGTAACTCACAACTCAAGGTACAGTCTGTTTGAATTATTGTGGCGGGGGGACCTGGAGGGTACCCAAGAGTGCAGGGAAATGGGCTGGGCAGATGCATGCCATGCGGGCATGGTGGCGGCAGCGGCCAGTAATTCACAACCCAGACACTTCATCCACATGGAGAGTTTGTTATAATAGAGAGATGAAGAAGAAGATAGGAAAGAGAGAGACAGAGAAAGACAGAGAGAAAGAAAGAAAGGAGAGCTTGGGGGTGTGCACCTCATGGGGGAAAAGCAAAAGAGAGAGAGAGAGAGGAAGGGGAGGAGTTTTTCCTTAGAAGGAGGCTTTTACGTCAGGATGCAGGGCAGCATCAAAAGAGTGAGATTCCAAGGGGTAAGTCAGAATATTAGCATTCCTCTGTTTTGGTTATAATAAAAAGAAGTGAGTTATGGAAGCAAGTGGGGAACAAGGGCACTGAATTCTTGAGGCCCCTTCAAGCTGACAAGGGGCAAAATGGGCAGTGGGGAAGCCGGAGTCACACACGGAGTGAAGAAGCTCAGCTGGCTGTCATCGTGGAGATCTCGGGCGTCCATTCCTTGAGGTCGCTAGGAGAAAAAATAGATGGTTATCATTGGCCTTATGAGCTGGGCTTGCCATGGATAACTGCCAGAAAGAGTGGAACGGAGATGTGCCCTGGTTGTACAGAAGAGACAAAGGTGAATGAGTGAGACATGAGAGCAGATATGTCCTTCACTGAGACATCACGGAAAACCAGGATCCAGTTGCTGGGCAGGTGCCTGCCTGAGCCTGCAGAGGTGGTACTGGCAGTGAATTGAAGGATGTGTTCTTTAGGAGTACAGGAGCCACCACATCTGCCATTTCTCTGGAGGTGGGGGCGCATCCATCCCAGGTGGAATCCTCGGTTGGAGATTGGCGTCCTCAGACCTGGTACCAGCTGGTGCAGGGGCTGGTGTATCTGGAGAGCCCCTTGGCCCAGGCAGGGGAGCAAAACTGCAAAATATGCTTGAAAATGGGTGAGGTCAAAATGGGCTCTGGAGACTGTTAGTTTTCATCAGACCAGATTTCTTGATGCAGTAAGAAAACTTTTCTTAGGGAACTGTAGGTATCTGTAAGACAGCTGGAATAGATTTTTAACAGGAAATTTATTAATGGGCCATCAAGGTGCTTGTTGCCTTGGGTCATTTAAACACTGTCAGATCTGAGAAGGATAAATTTAAGAAGAGGTGAGTCAGCTTTCCTATCTTCATATAAACAAACCAGGATATACTGAGAGCAATCAATAGCAAAACGTTACACTGAAATTTGTTCTGTGAGTTTATCCTATCCAGTAATAAGGTAAATTGTGTCTAGACCTAGTAGTAGCCCTAGGAGAGGGGGACCTGTGAATTTTAGAGAACTGAGAAGGCAGCTGAAGCAAAGCCTGGTCGTCAATTGGAATCAGAGATCTGAGAAGGAAAAATCATATTTGAGTACAGACCAAGCAGCTTTTGAATCTGTTAAAAATGACAGGGACCAGTCCAAACCCAGTTAGCCATACCTAGGTCTCCACATTGTTAGCAGAAGTATCAGAACTCTTCAGCCCATCAGGACCATGAGGTGGGAGTTTTCCCATAGAAGAGGGACATAGGGAAGACTGAGTTTATTTTATCTAGGCAAAAGGAGTGCAATCAATTCCCGATGTCCTGCTGTTTGTCCACAGTCTGGGCTGGGTCCTAGAGGCAGGTGTCACATTTGGGAACCTTGCCCAGAGGTCATTGTTGCCATCATCCAAATGGAGACATCTTCTTCAGAGACCTTGGGTCATTGTTAGGATCTGGGAGTCTGTGTCTGATATAATAAGATTTTTGAGTAACATTTTAAATGCCATATTCTGCAGATCTTTGAGTGTGTGAGGACTGCCCGTCTATTAGGTATAAATGGCTGCCTGTCAGCTAGTATTCTCAAAGTCTCCCATATCTTAGCAGCTTCAATAAGGCTAGGGCTTGCTGTCTCCTGAGAAGACAAAGAAGAGTGACATGGAAAAGATCCCAAGGCCGAATGAGAAAAGGGGCTTGTGAGTTAGGGTGCAGCCCAAATCTGAGAAAAGGACCCTCTGAGAAGAGGAAAAGGACCCTCTTGGTGGACCAGAAACTCCATCCTTGATTGATTTATATATAAATAATAATTTCTTAATGTTATTTAATACCTCCTTGGTTCTGCATAAGGGTCAAGTGTCTTACCTTATTGCAGAACCATTTTAATTAACAAACAGCAATGGGCATTAGGTAGCCGATCAGTCCTCTAAGCCGGGGGTTTCCCTTTGACCCAAAATTTCAGTCTATTCTAGACAGGAAACATGGGATGACGTCGTATTCGCTTCTTAAACTGCTTCAAGCTGGCATTGGGGCATTGTTGTCAGGTCCCCCAAAAATGCTGAAAGGTCAATCAAAGGCTGGGCAATGGAGCATTTGTCAGAAGCATGTGGTTATCTGGCCTGGCTATAGAGATAGGAAACAATTATGTTTGGCTGGGCTGGTCCCCATCACATAGACAAGAGTCTCTGCTGATGTCCATAGCAGGGAACGTGCTGCAGGTTGTGGCCACAACTGCTACTTCGATGTTTCTGCCAGTCTGCTGAAATACAGACTAGAGATGGGAGTTAAAATGTATGAATTTATTTGGAGCCTTTTGGCCATGGTCTTAATAATTGAGAAGAGCAGAAATCCCAAGACCAGGAGAGAGAAAAAAATTACCATTCTTAGGATTAGACAAGTGAGGAAAAAAATAAAAGTTTTAGATAAGTTAGTATTATCAATCAGTACTGAAAAAAATCATAGAAAAGTGGGTAATGAGTAACCAAGGAAAATTGAAAATCCTGAGCTTGTAAACCAAAGTGTATCAGAATTGTATTAATGTTAAAATCTGAAATTTAAAATCTTAATTTCATACCACATGCACGTGGTTCCACTGATGTCCCCGAGGGGAGCGCATATGTCTCTGGGCCCCACCCATATGAATGGCTTTGGAGGAACGAACACCAAGCTATGACTGGACCTCCACCCTGCCCAGATGACTGGAGCCCGAGAGAGGCATCTGGGCAATGCCAGGCCAAGGCCAGAGGGCTTTTCCTCCACCTGTGAAACAGTGGTGAAACAATGCTCAGCAGGAGGTGATTCCCTAACCTCCCTCCATACCAATGGCCTGAGCAATGGGTGCCCCGCCCATGCTGCCCTTAGTAAAGATGGCAGTGAGGTCACTTGACCTGCCTGTTTTAGCCTTAGCCAAGATGGCAGCTAGACCATGTGGTTGCCCTTATTTAAGATGGGGCCTTGATCACATGATTGCCTTTAAGATTTGCCACCTGATCACGTGATCACCCCTATCAAAAATGGCACCTGACCATGTGTTCATGTGTTTTTTTTTTTTTTAATAAACTGAGCAGATAAGGAACAGATAAACTGAAATATTTAAGGGTCAGTCAGAAAGAAATATAGATGGCCACATCAATCATACATTTCCACTCGCACATAGGAAATAGATTTTGTGAAGGAAAGATGGAGAAGTAGCAGAGCAGCGGGGGGGGGGGGGG